CTGAAACCAAAACTTGGCAAGAATACCACCAAAGAAAAGAAAATGACAGCAAAATCTCTCATGAGAATGGAAGCAAAAATTCTAATTGAAACATCAAACAGAATTCAATGACACAGAAAAAAGAAAGCTCTCATTATCAAGTGGGATTTATTCCAGGAATGCATGATTGATTGCAACTCAAAATTTATACAATCAACCATGCTAACAGAAGAAAGAAAAAAATTCTATTATCATTCCACTAGATGGAGAAAAGACTTTTAGAAAACTAACACCTATTCATTACAAAAAGTCACAGAAAATATTGAATGAAAGGGAACTTCCTTAATCTAGTTTAAGATATTTTTAAAAATATAAAAATAATATAAAATAAATTTAAAATAAAAATGTCAGAACATCATATGAAGTGGCTGGGCATAAGAAAAGTAGTGGGAGAGATTCTGAAGTTCAGAGCCAGCTTGGGCAATTTAGCAAGATTCTGCTCAACATAAGAAATAAAAAGGGATTGGGATGTAGGTTCGTTTTGAATACCTGAGTTCAATTCTTGGTACCAAAAACAAAAACACATGGAACAAAAAGAATTGAAACTAACCCTAGAATTTTGAACGCAATGCTATAAACTTTCAGAGCAAAATATTTTATAGACACACATACATACACATGAAATTTTAGACGCTGAATTTTTTAAAATTGATAGTGGTATGGGTATATTAATTCTAAAATACACTGTGGGCTTTTGAAAATAAATAAATAAGCAAATGAATGCTTTTGCAATCAGGTTTTTCACTATGAGAAAAATGAATAAAAATAAGAAATTAGGAATTAGCAGAGGAATCCTATGTTAGTGGATTGTGATTAAAGGCATGGATAAATAGGAGCAATAATATCCCAAAAGCAACAAGCATACTTAATGTTCATTTCCCAGTTTATAAAGCAATTGCTCACTAATATGGTTCCTTGTAAAAAACAAATGGCTAATTTTAGGACTGGATAATGGGAAGTGAAAGGTGAGCCTAGCATAATTTATGTCAGAAAGTAAGAAAGCTCTCAAAAACTGATGACACATATCAAAAGGAGTTCTCATTGGAGAAATCTGGGACAATTTGAGCATAAAAATAATTAAAGGCAATAACAAATCACATATGCTACATTGAATATTAAACAATCTAGAAATCCCTACTAATATGAATAAATAAATAACAAAGAATTAGAGGGAAAATCCTTCCTTAGAGTATAATGCCAACTAATATAAGCAGAAAAAAATGATAACATTGAGAAAAATCATCATTGCACAATCACCTTCGTAATAAATAGGCCAGGTAAGAATCATCCATGGATTCTAAATCCATGTGGTCAAAGTTTGTTGAGAAATAATTTCTTAATTTACAAATATATGGAGATTTTCTAGTTATCTGCCTGCTAATCATTTCTATCTTATTTGCATTACAAAGAAAATGCACTTTATGAATCCCACCCATTCAAATTTATTGATGATTGATTTATGACCAAATATGTGGCCAATTTTTTTATAAGTCTTTTGTATGCAAATGGCAGGAATATGCATTTTTCACTTCTAGGTTCACATTTGCTCACTGTCCTCATATAATCACTGGGAGAGTTTTATTAACATCTTATACCATGAGTGTAGATTTGTCTGTCTGTCCTTGTGATTCTGTCTTGTTTCCTTTCTAAATGTTAAGACCATATTACTATGTACTTATGAATTCATTATATTTTCCAGGTGAATTTAAGTCTTTCATCATTACAAAGTGACCTTCCTTCTACAGAATAATTCTTTTGTCAAAAAGTCTATTCTGAAAATATTAATATAGCTATGCCATTATTTCCATTGGGTGAAAGACCTTTGGCCTCTCACTTTCCTTAAGCTTTCATTTACCTTATGCTTTAAATATGTTGGTTGCTTTTTGCAAATTCTGACCAGTCTTAGAATATTTAGTTAATTTATAATTAATATAATTAGGGATGCATTTGGTTTTAATTCTGCCATTGAATATGTGTTTTCTATTTTCCAACCATCTCTGTTTCTTTTTTTAACTTTAATGCTTCCTTTTGGATTTATTATAACTTTAAATTTGGAAGTTAAATGTTTTTTTCTACTCTATTAGAAGTTGCCCTTTAATGTGCAAGTTATACTTTATTCATTAAAGTTTAATATTAAATATCACCTTTTCTCTTTCTCCTGGACAATGAAAGAAGCTTATTTTCAATGCTCTTTACTTATAGGCTATTATTTTATGCATTTAGGTCAATAAATACTTTGAGACCCAGAAGACATTATTGTTATTGTGCTCTACAGTCAATACTTATTTATATTTAAGAACACATTTACCATTTTCACTGCTCTTAATTGCTTCCTGTATATCTAACCTTCCGTCTGTGACCATTTTCCTCTGCTCTAAGCACACCCATTAGTATTTCCTTAAGTAGGAGTCTGCTATTGGCATGTTCTGTCAGTTTTTGCTTGTCTTATACTGTCTTCACTTCACTTTAATTTTTGAGGTTTAATTCTGATGAGAATGTGACTCTGGCTTAATATTCTTTTTTTTTTCTGTGTATTGACAGTATAATCCCAACATCTGGCTTTTATTGTTGCTATTGAGAAAACATTTGTCCATTTTATGATTGCTCTACTGAAGTTATCTATACTGAAGTTATCTATTTTTTTTCTCTAAGGTTGATATTAAATTTTTTCTCTTTTTCATCAATATTACTCTGATGGTTCCAGATGTTGATTGCCTTTTATTCATTCTGTTTGAGACTTGGTGAGCTTTTAAATATGAGAATCAATGTCTTTCATCAATTCTAAAAACCATTAGCTCTTCTAATATTGGTTTTCTGCCTTTCTTCTCTCTCCTTGTGCAACTCTTCTTGTTCTATACTGTATGTCTACTATCCTCTTGTACTCTAATCTCTGTTTTCTATCCTTGTAATTTTCCATGCTTCATTCATCAGAGTTTCTTCTTTCAAATCTCTAATAGTTCTCTCTATAGCCATGTCTAATCTGGCACTGAATTCTTAGGTTTTCATATTATACTTAAGCTCCAAATTTTCTGGTTGTTTCTCAGATCTTAATGTTACCCTTAACAGTTTCTTGCTGAAAGATTTAAGTTTAGCTTATAATTGCCATGTTCACCTTACAAATGGTTGTTTAAAGTCTATGTCTGATAACTCGACCATCTTAAATAGCTTTAAGTTCATTTCTTTTATATTTCATTGTCCCATGTCTGGTTCAAGTATCGTTTTTCTTTTATATCTGCTTATCACTGTGTTTCAGTGACTATATTTGAAAATTATTAAAAGAAGTAATTGGAGCTTAAGATTTTTTTTGTTGCTTATGCCAAATAAGCTGTAAACATGAATAATATGAAAACATGTTAATCCAATTTCAAGGCTCAAGATTTTTCTTGGCTACCTATATGACTTGAACCAGAGTTGAATTTCATGTCATAGATGTTTAATCTTCTTCCTTCTTTATTCCTAGACTACAGGTCTTTGGGATCCCAAAATTAAATTCAGATTGGCTGACCCTTGCCAAACTCTGTAATCTTACTTTGGTCCAACTTTGTGGATCAAAGATGAGGCAATGAAATGTTTCCCAATCTGTTGGTCATATCTTTAGATTGGCAATTACATCTTTGGCAAAAGTGAACCAAATGTCATAATTTTTCCCGGACTTCTGTCTTTCTCTAAATTTTGGCCACATAAACACACACTATTTTATTAGATTATCTGAGATTTTAGTATTTTATTCATATTTTTAGTTTTCTTTAGCCCAAGAGTCATTGCAAATTACCCAGACTGTCATTTCTAGAAACCGATGACCCTAGTATTCTAATTTCACTTACGTATATACTTTTTTTGTAAGTACCATAAGAACTGGATTCTTTTTAGATGAGCACCTTGGGGTAGAGACATTAAAATCTGTGAACTCTTAAAATTTTAAGTCAAATTATATATATAGAATCCATTTATATTTGTGAAAAATTTCATGGCTTCTTATCCAAAGGTGTTTGTATTGTATATACTGATAGAACAATCTACAAAGAACGATGTTAAAACTTAAAATAAATAACTTAACCAAATTAAATTCATCAATAAACCCAGAGACAAATTTCTAGAAGATATCAGTGAAGATTGTGCAGAGGTTTTGATCTTGTTGGCAAATTTACCTAAATCTTTTACAGAAACATAGGTTTGAAGAAAAATTATTTTTCTTCAAAAGAAGAAAAAGCTCAACTGGAAGGAGATAAAAGAGGGCTGTAAAAGCCCTAAATCCAATGAGTTAACCTGCTTTACTTTAATAGTAGCATTAGTATAGTATTTATGAATATCTTAAATATTAGCAATAACATGACCATTTCTGTCTCTTTAAATTTCTCCACATCCCAATAAAATTTTTCCCCAAATCCTTAAAAAAATCAATAGTTTCTCCTCTCTCTGTATAACCAGAATTCAAGAAGACAATTAAAGCTGAGGAGAAATAGTATATTTTGTGTTTAACAAATTTAGCAAACATTGAGACCTGTTTTCTTCATAAAGATCCAGATCATATTATTAATTTTCCACTGAAAAGGATGTGGAATTAGAATTAAAACATTAAGGCTAATATTCTGGGACAAATGTATCTTTTCCAAGATTTAGATTTTTTTAATCTTTGTAATGGTCAACGCATTTTAAATATGCACAAGGCTTTGTATCTGTGTTGCAGAATTCGTTGGCATACTAAAGTAAGAACTAACTTAGCACTATAAATGAAAACTTTACACCTATATGTTCATATTTGTCATATCCTGTATGTTCATATTTGTCATATTTGTTTCATTATTGTTAACCTAAATATCAGATAAATAGGTTAAGAATAATTCCTAACAATCCCAGCCATATACAACGTTACCAGTCGACGTCTGTACGTTGTTCACAGTACATAATCCGAAGGTATTGAGCATAGCCGTTGCAATTCTAATGGCCAGGAGTATATTTACCTATCGAAATTGCCCAAACAATAGCAATCTTCATGATGGCCTTAGTCCGCGAATTGAAACGGCTATGCTCAATAGGATTACGTATTGCTACATACCGATCCAGCGATATAGCGCAGAGGTGCATGATGGACGCAGTAGAAAATAAAACATCTAAAGAAATCCAGACGGGGCACAAATACCTAGGTAGTGGCCAGACATAATCTGAAAGAGAACAGAGAGAAGACAAAAATATGTTATTCAAATCGACTAAATCCACTTTTCAATTTTAGCGCTCTAATTTTTTATTCTTAATCTAAGCTTTTTAAAGAAAGTGAAATTTCAGAAGCATTAATTTCCATAATGATGATGATGATGATGCTATCAGTGTTGCATAAATTTTTATTGCTGTAAACTTTATACAACATAAAACTGCCAGACACTGTGGAGCTTGCCTATAATGGGGAGGTTGGAGGTAGGAGGTTCGTGGAGGCCAGCCTCAGTAACTTAGATAGATCCTGTCTCTTTCAAAATATAAAAAAATTAAAAGGGGTTGGAATGTAGATCAGTGGTAAAAGGCTCCGTGGCTTATTGCCCAGCCCAAATGAATCACTTAAAGTGTACAAACCAATGGCATTTAGTACATTCATAATATTGTACAACCATCACCTCTCTCTAGTTCTCAAAAATTTAATTATTCAAAAAGGAAATCACTTCCCATTAACCAGTCAGCCCCTCTCTCATTACTTCCCTCCTCCAGCCCTGGGAAATCTCTATAATCTTTTTTTCTGTTTTTATAAACTTACTTAATCTAGATATCTCATATAATTGGAATTTGTAACCTTTTGTGTCTGGTTTCTTTCACTTAGCATAATGATTTGGAGGTTTATCCATTTTGTAGCATGCATCAGTACTTCATTTTTTTTATGGATTGTTTACTGCCTTGTATATAATTAGATTTGATTTTCGTGTATTAATAGTGTCTCTTGTGACTTTGCTGAATTGATCTCATATATAGATCATATATATATATATGGTGGGTGGGTTTGTTTTTGTTTTTGTTTTTAATTTTCCTATATAAGATCATGTTATCTGAAAATATAGATAATTTATTTCTTCTTTTTCAATTTTCCTCTTTTATTTCCTTTTCTTGCCTAATCTCTCTAGATACAGTTTCCAATACAACACTGAATAGAAATAATGAAAGTGGGTATCTTCTCTTTATTCCCGGTCTTAGAGGGAATTCTTTCAGCTTTTTTTAAACTACTGATTATGAAATTATGATATTAGCTGGGGATTTTCATTAATCCCTTTTATCATGTTGAGGAAGTTTTCTCCTATTTCTAGTTTGTTAAGTGTTTTTGTTTTCCATCATAAAAGAGTGATGGATTTTGTCAAATACATTTTTCTGCAGGAATGGAGATGACCTTATGGCTTGTTTACTTCCCTCTGCTCTTACATTCCCACTTGGTCATAGTGCATAATATCATGCTGAATTGAGTTCATTTATATTTTGTTCAGAATTTTTGCATCTATATTCATAAACGATCTTGGTCTATGGTTTTCTTGTGCTGTCTTTATCTGGCCTGAGTATTAAGATAAAGTTGGTCTCATAAAATGTAGTTTGAGAAGGACTGGTGTTAATTTTTTAAATGTTTGGTAAAATTCATCAACGAAGTCATCTTGTCTTTTCCTTGTTGGGAGGTTTTGGTAACTGATTCAAGTCTTTACTTGTTATAATTATCTTTAGACTACTTCTTCTGGGTTTCTACTTTATTGGAGCACAATTGTTCATTATATTTTTTCCTAATCTATTTAATTTCTGGAAGGTCAGTAGAAATGCTCTTATTGTCATTTCTTATTTTCATAATTTGTGTGATCACTTTTGTTTCTTAGTCATTCTGGCTAAAAGGTTTGTCAACTTTTTTGATCTTTTCAAAGAATCTCAACTTCTGATATTCTTAAGATTCTTTATTTTTCCCATACTCTATTTTATTTGTCTTTATCATTTTTTTTCTAGTTGAATGAAGCTTATTCTTTTATTCTAGTTCTTTTTCTATTTTATATCTTAAGGATATAAATTTATGTCATATCTTTCTTTAGGATCTTTCTTTTACTGATTTTTTTAACCAATCCTTTTCTTTATTTTTGTGGTGCTGGGAATGGAACCAAGGCCTCACATATGCTAAGAACATGATCTATAATTGGGCTGTACTCTCAGCCCTTTTCTTCTTTATAAATGTAGCCATTTATAGTATAAATTTCCCTCTAAACACTGTTTTTGCTGCATACCATAATTTTTGGTAAGTTTTTATTTCACTCTTTTTCAAAATATTTTAAAATTTTATTTTGTGATTTCTTTTTTCACTCATTGGCCATTTAATAGTGAGTATGCTGTTTAATATCTGTATATGTTCAAATTTGTCAATTTTCTTTCTAATTGCTGATTTCTAGTTTTACTCCATTGTGGAGAATATACTTTGAATAATAATATTTTAATTAATTTATATTTGTTTAGTGGCCAAACATATGGTCTATCTCAGAGAACATTCTATATGTTATTAGATGGATTATTCTCTATGTCTATTAGAATTAGCTGCTTTACAGTTGTGTGTGTGTGTGTGTGTGTTTTCAGTAGTGAGGATTGAACCCATACATACATGGTAAGCAAGCATTCTACCACTGAGCCACATTCCCGGCCCTTTATAGAGTTTTCTAATTCCTCTATCTCTTTATTTATCTGTGTAGTTGGTCTATACATTGTTTAAAATAGGGTATGATGTCTCCAGGTATTATTGTAGGTATGTTTTCTTTTTCTTGTTTCAATTCTTTTACTTTTTGCTTCCTGTGTTTGTTGGGCTCTGTTGTTAGGTGCATATATGTTTATAGGTTTTGTATCTTCTTGGTGACTTTACCTTTTTATGAACTTATGATGTCCTTTGTCTTTCATATAAGTTCTATTTTTTTGACATTAACTTAAGTCTCCTTTGGTTACTATTTACATGGAACATTCCTTCACTGTCAATATCCAGGTGTCCTGAGATATTGAGTTTCTTGTTGGAAGTATATAGTTGGATAATATATTTTTGCTCACTCTGTTAGTCTCTGCCTTTTAATTTTAGTTTAATACATTTCACATTTAAACTAATTACAGTTAGGAAAAGATTTACTTCCATCATTTTCTATATAATATATACCATCATTTCCTTCAGTAATGCCTTCATTTGTGATTAACTGACCTTTTTATAAGAAACTACTCGATTCACTTCTTATTTTTTTTCCCTGTATAATGTTTTAGTTTTTTCCTTAGTAGCTAGCCTGGGGATTACAATTAATATCTTTTTCTTATAAGAATCAAGTTTTAATTATGCATATTTTGAATACTGTACAAAAATTTTGTGGTCCCTCTATCTCTACCCATTCCTGGATACTCTGTCACCTTTCAGTGTTGATATTTCCTCAAATTATTTTCTCAGGTTCTTTAGACCACAAAAACTGAAGATTATTTATTGTAGTTTTATCCACCTATCATTGCACACTATATCTTCAACTTAGATTATACATCATGGAAGCTGGAAACTCAATCAGTGTTATGACTTTCTTCAAAGTGTTTAGACCCTCCAGAATTCTGTATTGGGTTATTCTCCAGTAAATCAGATAATTTGTTTTTGTGTTTTATTTATTTATCTGCTGAAAGGTTGATTCAAGAGCAGCTTACTTGACCATAACTACCAATCAGTAGGATTTAACCAGTACAATAAAGAAAAGCTATCACCAGAAATTCTTTGGACCAAATGTCTTTGTGGATGCTCATTATTGTTAATAATTTTTTGTACCTTCCTCAGATTGTATCTATCATGAAAGTTGATTGTGTTGAAGATTTTGATACTCTACTCAACATGTTTCACCTGCAAAAATTGTTTTTCCAATTGTGCTTTAAATGCACAAGTATGTCTTCACTATTACTATGTGGGAGAATTCTATTGCCATAATCACTAGAATATAAGTTCCATTGGGTGAACAATCACTTCCTGTTTTATTTTTCTACTATTCAATCCATACTGCTTGGAATGATGGGTAAATTTATGTGATTCATGTATATTTCACATAAGGAATGTATGGAAAGTTTGGAAGGAGTTACATAACAAAGAGACTATTGCACATTTTCCATGGGGCAAGTAAATTCATAGTTAGATGAAATAAAATCTGATTTTCAGAGGAAACAATTGCACACAGTATTTCATATTTTATATGTTCATTCACTCATTTACTCAAGGAGTACATGATTTTTAATAACTCCAGAATCACAGACATATCCAACAATATTGAAAAAAGTAGTAAAGATGGAGTAAATGACACTCTCATCTTTCATTTCTTTTGTTTAAAAGAAATATAAAAGATTTTATTCCTATGAAGCAATGGAGACAATCTTTGCCTTGGAGAAAAGAATAGTCCAGTATTCTGACAATATAATTAAAAGGTATAGTAATTTGGGGAGAATTGTGAAGTAATACCACAATAATCACATTTCCAATTTCTAGAACTTGGAAATTAGAAATTATAATTAATTTGTTTAAGTTAACATACATGAAAAAATGAGTAACCATAATAACATTTAAAAGTTTCCCAGAGCATTTCATAAAACAATATAGTGTAAATAGCAAAACTCCAAAAACACTTAAAAAACATTAGAGACAAATAGCATTCAATGATATAGATTCAAAATCCCAAATAAAATATTAACAGAGTCCAGTAAAAATATCAAAGGAATAATACATCGTGAAAAAACAAGAGTTATTTCAGGAATTCAAGGGTGATTTAATACCATGAAATTTACTAATAAAATTCTTTGTTAACAATTGTGAAGAAATTTTATGATTTTTAATAGGTAATGAAGATAATTTGATTAAATGGAGAAACTACTTCTAATTAAAATTTCAATTATATAGGGATAAAAGGGGCCTTCTTATAAATATGATAAAGGTAATTTACCAAAAACCAACAATAAACATTAAAAATAGTAATGCCATCAATACATATCAATAACATTAAATTTGGGAAATGGACAGGATGCCAACTTATCCTATTACTGATTATTTTATTAATTTTCACCAAGATAATATTGTGAATAATTTGTATCTTATTTTCTTATGCTTTAGAAAGCAAGGGATCAAATTATCTGTTGTCTATTTTTGGGTGACCATAGGCCTAGCAAATCTGACACT